TGGGAATGGTTCAAAGCTGCACACGGGGAGGTTCAGACTGGACATGAGGAAGCATTTCTTTACCGAGAGGGTGGTGAAACCCTGGGACAGGCTTCCTGGAGAGGTGGTCGATGCCCCAAGCCTGTCAGTGTTTGAGGCATTTGGACAATGCCCTTAATAACATGCTCTAACTTTTGGCCCTGAAATGGTCAGGCAGTTGGACCTAGATAATCATTGTAGGTCCCCTCCAACTGAAAATATGCTATTCTATTCTTTACAAATACTGCTTTTCTTGGACAAGTTACTTTTGCAACTAGCCAAGCTTGGCAGTGAAAAATATTACAAGTTAATTTAAGCAGAGCAAATTGTTAAGACCCCAGTTACTTCAGCAGAAACACATTTACAGAGTGAAAAATAAAATAACACCGTAGCTGCCTCAGTACTTCCCACCTAAAATCCTGAAGGCATGTCTCAGTTAAAGGCTGGGGCAGGAATCCGCACACCACTGTCCTGACACCCAGAGCACGGGAGCAGCAGGTACCTGCCTGCAGCTGGGTGGTCAACAGCTAACAAGTACTAACAGAATATGTGTATTTGGGGAGAGGGAGAAAAGGGGTACTACAGCAGTTATTTAAAATCAGCTCCTGAATTTTTAAATTCTTAAGAGTACTATGAAAGGTGTGCCGTAAGTAGCGTTTGCCTAGACTCTACCAGGCCATGTTTCTAGTTTTCCGTTAGATCTCCATAATGAAGACATCACCCTTAACAACACAGATGACAGACCTGGTGTTTGACGTGCTCTGTCTGAACACTTCCAGTCCCAATTTCTGTCCATCCTGAGGGTCACAAAGTGCCACAGCACTCCTCTGTGCAAGAGCCAAGTTCTGAAGACCATCAGTGAGCTCCTCCATTTCCACAAAACTTCGTGATACCTGGACTGCATCCCAAAACTTGCTGCAGGGCTTTAGGACAACCTCCCCTCCGCCCAGACCAACAGCAAGATCACAGAATCCCAGAATGGTTTGGGTGGGAAGGGACCTTTAAAGGCCATCTAGTCCAACACCCCCTGCCCTGGGCAGGGACACCTCCCACCAGCCCAGGTTGCTCAGAGCCCTGTGCAACCCGGCCTTGGATGTTTCCAGGGATCCTTGAGCTTTGACTATACTTCCCTCGTCCTCCTCCTTTGACTGCAGCCCTCCTCGTGCCCCAGGGCTGTGCAGGGCAGGAGCTGTGGCTCTCAGAGACCCCTGTCAGGTCAACGAGGCCCAGCACCAGGCACTTCACAGCACCAGAACTCAGCTTGCAGAGGCTGCTGAGCCTGAGGTACTCACGCCAAGTGCTGGACAGGAAACAAAACTAAAATGCCCTCAAATGATCCACTGATTGCTGCATAACATGGAATCATAGAATGGTTTGGGTTGGAAAGGACCTTTAAAGATCACCTAGTTCCAACCCCCTGCCCTGGGCAGGGACACCTCCCATTAGACCAGGTTGCTCAAGCAAGTGTGAAGGCAAGTTCTGCGTTGGGGTGGTTGGATCACTGAATTCACCCAAGGAGACGTGTCTCAGTAACTGCAATACCAGTTGCTCTGGCTGGTCTTTGCACAAAGGGATGCAAACACAAACATCTGATGCTGAACATTGAACTTTAACCTTCCTGTGGAGAAAACGCGGCAAAAAACAAGTGGGAGTTTGTGAAAGGAGCAGATGACATCTATGCAGAGCTCCTCCCTGACCCGAGCCCGAGCTGCCGGTGCTTTCCCCCACAGAGCCCCTGTGGCCAGAACTTGGTCTTGGCCATGGGACCACGTCCCCGGTCACCGGTGCCACTGGAGAAGGGACCTGGCCTGCCGTGCACGAGCTCGCCCGTGGCCAGGCGCAGGCAAAGGGGCGCTGGCGATGGCTGCCGGGGCTTCCAGGCGCAGGGCTGAGGCTGCGCGGACAGTGCCCAGTCGTCCCGTGACGCTGAACACAACACGATGCTGCTGGGAGTGCTCCGGAGCGACCCTGGGGCTGAGGACAGCGATGGCTCCCGCGGGGCCCTGCTGCAGCCCAGCCGGGAGGGACGGGGCTGGGGTACAGACCGACCTCCCCTCGGCGAGTGGCACTGTGGTCACGAGCTGTGACCTGCTGGTTTGACAAGTGCTCCTCGATGGTCCGGCTGAAACGCGAGGACCGACGGCGGACACAGGAGGGGCACGGAGGGGCAGAGAGGCGATGGTGGGCAGAGGAGAGCAGGAGGGGCTATTCATGAAATTAACCCCTCCTTTCTTAGAGACTAAATTCCCAAGTCAGGGACTGCGTGTCCCTCTACCACGTCCACAGAACCCGCCATAACCAGAGGCCGACGAGCACTTACCAGCCCAGGAACAATACTCCTCTGCCCGGGGAAGCAGCAGCGCGGGTTTGCTGAGACAACGTGAGGTGCAGTCACTGTATCAGCTGTAACTACCACTGTTTACAGGGATGGCCCCGGGGAAGTATGTATGAATATTTTATGAATCATATTACTAAATAGACAGTGCCTGATCTGCCGTCAGGTCAGCCAGGAAGAGGCAGGCTGCTCCAGTCCAGGCACAGAAGACTGGTTGAGTTACGGATATTACAAACCAAGAAATATCATCTTTCTGCATTTTGAGCACAGGTCTATCATTTGGGTATGTGGCAGGTAGGGATGGTGTCTCCGGGACAAGAAATGAAGAAGTGAATCCACCAGCTCATCACAGTGATGCGTGAAGGGGCTGCTACACCCCTTCCCATCTGCTCCAAAAGACTCCCTAAGGCAATGGCTGCAGGCAAGTCCCATGTCCAAAAGCTGCAGCTCATCTCCTGCAGGGACCAGCATAAAATAACCTTTGTCCAGACGCTCCATCGGTTTGACTGGGACATCATCTCCTCCCAGTACTGGACAGAGAAGGAGCGGGACGCGCTGGGAAGGACCAGCTCTCCGGGGTGGTGGAGAGCGTTCTCTGCTGGGGGGGCAGCTGATGGGGCAGCTCACATGGATGGGCACGTTCGGGACTGGGAAGGAATCAACCCGCAGCAAGACTGGTAGAAGCCATGCAAGGTTCTCACCATCCTCTGCAGCATGAAGTGCAGTTCCCTTTGAGGATCATCCAGCTGAGTCTCGCTTAATAACCAGCTCCCTCCCTCTGCAGGGACATTGCTGATGCTCTGGTCCCTCCCGTTTTCAGAGCCCTTCTCTGTTTCACCCCACGAGGCCTGAAGTGCTTCGCACAGAGTATCTAAATGAAGCGTGAGCGGTGGTGACACCGACGGGGCCAAGACAAGAGTCCCAACGCTCTTTCCAGCGTAAACCCCTTGGCAGCACGAAGCACCAGGCTGAGCGGCCGGGAAATACGGGGGTGACTCAGAGCCACCACATTCACCTCTCAGTCAAGAGGACGCCGCTCCCTGAGGGGCTCCAGCAGACTCGCCAGCACCCCCGTGCCAGATGGCAGCAGGACAGACCATGCCCACCCTGCGAGGGCTTCCAAGCCGCGACCCTCTGCAGCCAGGCGCCGCTCAGGGCCCCCTGCAGCAACGCCAGGCTGCGAATCCGTAAGCCAGACCCAAGTCCCACACAGCCTCACGCCCACCGGTCCATCCGCTCCAAGTCCTCTCTTTCAGCCTCGGCAGACAAAGGAAAATACAGAGCCTACAAATGTTAGGAGGGCATACAAGGAAAAACAAAAAAGAAAAGAAAAGAAAAAAGGAAACAGGACAAAATTTATCCCATTTTTCCTAACACAATAGCTGCAAGTCTGATCTGGCAAAAAAAAAATGGATGCCATTTTGAGCCCTGAAGTTTCACTTCACGTTACACAGGCTGATGCGAGCAGCACACGGACAGACACGTATGTCACATATATAGGGAAGGGGAGAGAGAGGGGAGAAAAAGACAGCAACCATATTCTACCAGGAACAGGAACACACCCACCGGCACACAGAGCCCTTTCGTGATACGGACAGAACAAAGACAATTCAGGAACACCCGCAGAAAATAACACCCGGGATTAAAGCCTAAATCACAACGATCTTCAGCCACACTGAGGTCCAGGAAAGGAGCAGCACGACCGAACGAGCCAGCAGCCACTGGCTTACGCCTTCCCTCCTGCATCTTGCACCCCGCATGCGAGGAAGGGACGGAAGCGTGCTCCGCTGTGCCTCTGCTTTCCGCAGCTGCATTTCCGAGCCCCCCTCGCCTCTCCCCAGCCTTCGGTCTGGAACTGCTGGAGAGAGGACCCTCCAGCCGGAGGTGGACCTGCCTCCCATGTGAATATGAGCACCTTCGTTACCAGTCCCCAAGGGACGCTGCCTTTTTGTAGCAAAAAGACCGGTTTCTGGCAAGAGGAGGCACAGTAACACGCCAGTCCAAGGTACCGGCTGCAGGAGCACGGGCGCTCCAGGGCTGCGCGGGGGACGCGTGCCCCAGGCAGGAGCAGAGGCTGCCTGGCCACACAGGGTCGAAGGTACGCTGGCAGCCGCAGCACAGACATCTACTGGTTTGCCCTCACGCTGGGGCTGAACCCCAACACAGCCAGGGCTCCCAGGAGAAGGACCCTGACTCTACACGGCCAACATATGCTGAGATACTTGAAGCGTAATTAAAACAAAAAAAAAGCGACAGAGGACACGGGCCCTGCCCCACGGGGCTGACATCTGCACCTGCAACAGGGCACATGCACTCTGTATGCCCAGTAAATAGGCAGAAGTGAAAACTCCTGCAAACGCGAAGCTACGAATACCCACATCCGTACCAGAGAAACACCCCAGAACGTGCGAGAGATGCACATCTGCCATGAATGGCATTTTCTGTACAACGCACGTAACCAGAGATGAGCTGCACTCACACCGCCTCGCCGTCGGAGAAGGAGAAGAGACGCCCCGAAGAGACCCCGATGCAGAGGGGCTCGCGGGCTGCTCGCAGCCAGGGAAAGGGGGTCCTGAGCGCCAGCCAAAGTGAGGAGAAGGAGCGTTCCCCCCCAGCCCCGGGACCGAGCGAAAGAAGCAGCCCTTACCTTTGGCCCCTCGCAACACAAACCCGAATCCCTCATGCTCCCTCTTCTGCAGCACGGCCGTCTTCTCCTCAATGATGTAGTCACTGGGCAGGAAAGAGCACAAGAGAATGATGCTAGGGTTAGATTTCAGCACCATGCTGCCAGGCGGAGGTGGCCTTTGTGCCTGTGACAAGGAGACCTCTTCTCATCGACCGTTTCATCTCAGCAAGGAGTTGGGCACAATCTGCTTCCCTCCCTCCCTCGCCCAAAGTCAGAACAAAACGACGAAAGCTACTTTCCCTCAACGTGTAGGTGGAGGAAAGCCCCGGCTGCCTGGATCACCCTTCTGCCCACCGGTCCCCTTCTCAGTCACCTGCATACGCATGCAGGGAGCTTACTGATCCCGCTCGGGGCTTCCCTTTAAATGATGCCCTTAGCATATAACTGAAGAGCGGAGCGCCCGAGCAGGGGAGGTGCGGGGGGAGGCAGCCATCCATCCATCAGGGAAGCAGCTCTCTGAGACTTTCCGGTTGCCTCTCGTATGCAAAAATTAGACGCTTGACAAAAGGAGAGGTGCCTCTTTGGTAAGTTCCCCGGGAGGGAGAACAGCAGAGTTTATATCCTCATCCCGGCGCTCTGATCTTCTCTGAAAATCCCCCCCCGCGTTGCCAAGTAACCGTCTGTCATTAGCAGAGGGGGGATGCATTGCATTGTCCTAGTTTAACAAAGCTGCTCTCCTTGCCCTCCGCCGCGGCCAGACGAGAAGAACGGGCAAAATCCAGCGGTGGAGAGAGAGGAACGGACACGCAGCTCCGCACGGACCCCGGCCGCCGGCGACCCTTCCAGCAGACCACCTCTACGCGCGGCGGGGGGCGCGCGGGGAGGGGAGACGGGAGGGGGATTCTCTCAGCAAACGGGAGCTTAAATGCAGCCCTGCAAATCCCTCCCAGCAGAGCCGCATGTCTGACATCAGAGTGGAATTAATCAGGGACCTCGGTCCTTCTCGGCAGCGTGGGGACGGCGCTTTGGACCCCACGCCAACCCCGAGAGGGGCAGAGGGAGCGATGGCGGGGGCCGGCCCCCGGAGCGGGGTGCCTGCAGCCAGCGATGGGCTCTGCCCGGCGCGCGGCGGTGGGGAACAAAGCCCCTCGCAGCACTGCACTGCACAGGAACGCGCTGCCAAGCAGCGGGCGCAGCG